TATTGAAGTAAGTATAGTTACCGTATTGATATAAGAGACGAATCAGGATTAAATTTAATGGTGCAATTGCTTAATTAAAAAACAGCATTACGAGAGGTCCTGTTTCAAAGTTCACTCTTTCATTAGCAACGAAAAGCTGATACAAAATATCGTCGTGTCACCGAAGGATATTAGGTTCTTCCACTTCTCTTCCACTCAATTAATTCGCTTTTATCGGGCTGCGCCGTGTCATTCGACAATACGGCACGGGAAGAAGAGAACATAGAGATTGGCAGAGGAAGAGAAAAGGTGGGTTGAAGGTAAAAAGGAAGCGAAGGCTAACAAAGAGTAGATCCGAGACGCATGGAGAACCAGGGACTGTGCACAATACGTTTCCAGGGAGGCTTTGAAGTCTGGCTGAAATTAATGTGGCGTCTCCTTTTGGTCCTGCGGCGCGGTTATTGCAACTGCCGCGGTACGGAACGAACGCAACCAGTGAAGAAGAAAAAGTACTCGCGGAAAGGACGGAAGGCGATGGAAATATCGCAGGAACCACCGAAGCCTCGACATCCGCCCGAGTTGTATTAAGGTTATTGTTTAATTTTACACGACAAACCCTAGAACATGTTTGAAATATATTCAGTGTTTAAGCCATTTTCAGGAAAAACTAAATGGTGAGTGGCGCTTGTGTTACCGAAACACATAAAAGAACGTCTTTTATTTGTAGAAATTTGATAATGATTATTGAAGGATGTATGCTTGTTTCTATATGAAAACAGAAATAAATAGGTAGACAGGTTAATTATGTCTTTGCTTAAGTTTATTTGCTTCCATTTTTGTACTTTAGGAGCATAATTTCGTATCGCGATTTTCATTACACTATTTATTTATTTTAAAAGAATGAAATGAAAATTGTCCAAGTTCCGTTATAATTCTGGTCAAATAAAAGATTGCATTCCTACAATTTGATTTATCTATTTTATTGTATTCACTGAATCTCTTTTCGTTTGCAAATTAACTCCCATAAAATAATTATAGTCCATACATGATTTAACTGTACTATCGCTCGAGGCTTTCGGTCATGCGACGAACAATTCTAATCTGACTTAATTTAGAGAAAAAAAATGAATCTTAGTTTGATAAGAAAATTCACCGCAGTTCGTGTCTGACAATTGTCGAGAATTTGCACGCATGCATTTAATTACTGAGCCTCCTTTCGGTGCCGGTCTGTTTCCATGCGTTTCACGTGCGAATGGGAAAATCTCTCGCGGGAGAAATCGATTTCCGCCCGTACATATCGATGCACGCCTACACCCACCTATTCAACCCCTATTGCTACCCCTTGCTTCTCTCATCTTCCTCCCTCCTCATTCCGTCCGTAACCATCCTCACGCGGCCTTACACGCTCTGATGCTTATCCGCTGTTCCATTAATTTCTCGGTTAACGATATTCTCGCCTTTCTGTCGTGCCGGAAACAGGATATCATCAGAATCAACGGGGGACTCAGGTGCGGAACCAAAAGCATTCCGATTTAGAGCGACTGAAGTTCTGCTTTTAATTCGTTGCGCGCTATTCGTAGTGAAAATTGGGTTGCAAAACAGACAAAATATTTCAGTTCATTTCGTATAAAATCTTATCTCTACAGGGAACGTTATATTACAATATAATATTAAAGTTATAATAGAGAGTTATAAATTATTATATGTAGTAAAACAAAAATAAAATAGAAAATTTTAAATATTATAGTAACTGGATGTAAATACTTGTACAGTATACAGGATATTCACGG